TCTTTACGATGCCGAGGTGTAGTCCCCATTGTGCGCGTTGTGAAAATCTTCCCGCTCGCGCTTCTGGGGGTCGGTACTGTACCATGCACCCGAAAACTCGTAACATTTTTGTGCTGCCCTGTTTCCCTGTCCACAGCAGATGCGGTGATGCGTTGTTCGGAAGTGAGGACGACGACATCAAGTTGTGCAGCATGACAGCGTGGTCCATTGCTGTAGGCCACTGGTGGTTGGGTAGCCGCATGCCACGTAGCAGTTTGCACATGCTGTTCTGCAGAGTCCTCTTCATTCTTTCTGCGACACCTTGCTGCTGATGGGCGTAGGGAAGGGAGAGGAGCTGCTTGATTCCTCTTTCCGCCAGGTACTGCTTGAAGCGCTGAGAGGTGTATTCTCCTCCTCCGTCTGACTGGAAGCTTTTCAGTTGTGCTCCCGACTCTCTCTCTGCTACTGGTAGCCAGGCGGCGAACGCTGCGAGTGCCATGTCACGGCTGGGTAGGTTTAGGTGCCAGACGTATCGAGTGGCGGCGTCGATGAAGGTTATCGAGTAGTTGTAAGTAACTTGTCCTGGTTCTCGATTGAAGAGAATATCGCTGTACACCTTCTCGAGTGGTGCGTACGCGGGTGCGCTCGGGTTGTGGTGAGGAGTAAACGGTCGATGTGGTAAGTCGGCTTCGGGGCAAGTGAGGCAAGTTCCTCGTGCCCGTTGAAGTTCTCTGTCGTCGGGTAGTAGTAATGAATCCTTGTCTAGGACTCCTGCTCTTATTGTATTATTTGACATGGTGTTGCTTGGATGTCCCATGCGTGCGTGCCAGATGTCTTCGGAGGCGCGGTGTCCGGGTGAGCGTCGATACGCATCGGAGTTGGAGTAGAAGCTGGCGACGAAGTTTGCGCTTCTATGGACTTCTCGTTGAGTTGGGTTGAGCTGCTGTGCGAGTGTTGGTGGTGCTTCGTCAACGAGAACTGGTGTCGCTGACGATGGTTCTGCTACTGCCGATGATGTTTCTGCTGGTTCTGCTGCTGCCGATGTTGTCTCTGCTGCTTGTGCTGCTGCCGATGTTGTCTCTGCTGCTTCTGCTGCTGCCGATGTTGTCTCTGCTGCTGCTGGATGTTGAATTGTTGCTAACGCGCGTGTTCGTTCTGTTTCAGGGATGGTATGCGAGTACCAGAAGCCTTCCGGGCTGAAGTCTGGATCAAGATCTGGAGGGTGCGTCCAGTTGGCGAAGTTCACGATGGCGTCGCTGTCTGCGGTGCCTAGGTCTGGGACGAAGTCAAGGACAAAGACGTTATTCTTCAGAACCGCCTTTCCGATGTAGAGGCCGCCCTTCCCGTGGTACAGTTTGAACTCCTGGGTGGTGCTGTCGGCTTCCAGGTGTATGCCTTTCGCCATCAGCTGACTGACGCTCAGTAAGTTGTAGCCGAGTCCCTCTGCTATTAGGACTTTCCACATTTGTAGTACGACGTTCGTCTCCCGTGACTGAAGCTGTACTATGCCTTGTCGTCTTGTTCGCAGCATCTGATTATTGGCGACGGTGATGACAACTTCTCGTTGAAGTCGGTGCTCGCGTTGAACGAAACGTCTTGAGGAGCACATGTGTTGTCCGCAGCAACTGTCCAAGAACCAAGTGTCTCTTCCGGATGGCTCGCTTTGAGCGATGGCGGCGTATGTCGGGTTCAGCTGAAGTGACTCGCGTCGAGGTGTGGTTTCGTCAAGTCGTTCTTCTGGTGAGTAGTGCGGCGGTGATTCGGTAATGCAGGAATCTGTTGTCTTTGCCATGCAGTTGACGATGTTTCTTGCTCCTTGTGCAGGTTGTCCTGTTGGAGTCGTTGAGGCTTGAATCTTTGTCGTGGGATTTACTTGCGTTGAAGTGACTTGGGAGCTTGAAGGCCGAAGTTGTCGCTGTGATGTTGTCGATTGCTGACGATGCGGGCAGTGCGTACGAGGATGCCCTGAAGTCTTGCAGATGTGGCAAAACGGAGGTACTGGCTTCAATTGTTGTTGCTGCCGATTGTTGTTGTTGTAGCGTCGCTGGGTGTGAAACGCGAACTCTGGTAATGACGTTTTCTTCTTATGTCGTTCTTCTTGCAGGTCCATGTCCTGCTGCTCGGCATGGATTTCGGCGCAGAGTGTTGCTTCAGAGATTCTCCCGTGTGCTCGTAGTATGGCGCGAGTGGAGCGCCAGTGAGGGCCAAGACCGCCGATGACAACCGTGACGAAGGCGTCTTCTGAAATCGATCCTCCACATCGAAGAAGCTTGTCGCGCAGCTCGCGGCAGCGACTGATATATGCCATTCCCTTCTCGCCTGGTTTCATTTCGATTGTTGTCAGCTGCGCCATTAACCGACTTTGATTTACGCTGTCTGTTGCTTGATACAGGTTCTTCAAGTGGTTGTACGCGAGCTCCGCGGAGTTACCGTAACCTCGGTAAGTCCTTATGTTCTGCTGTTGAGTCGGGGTGATGTTCCTCAGTAGTATTGTGTACGCCATCATCGATTGATAGGTGTACTGCTGCTTCTCATACTGTGTGCCGTTTGTTGGATATGGCAGGGACCCGTCGAAGAAGCCAAGGATCTGCGCTCCTTCCATCATCAGCTCGAATTCGAACGACCAGGTAAAGAAATCCTTCCCGTCGAAAGGTTTTGTCGTTTGTAGTTTCAGAACATGCGCGAATTGCGACTGAACTTGTAGTGCGTCCAGTGCTCTTTCTTGTCCCGATGCAGGTTGTGATTGCGGCATGAAGCTGACGGAGCCGCGCTGGGGCTCGTACGGAGCGAAGGTAGGTTGTTGATGTTGATTCCCGCATGCGTAGGATGAGCCATCGAGACTCATGGGCGTCACGTTGTTGTTGTTGTTGCTGTTGTTTGATTGCGCAGGTACTCCTTGCTGATGCTGCTCGTAGAAGGACATGAAGGAGAAGAATTTCTCCATCATACTTGGATCGAAGCCCGCGCCTTGGTTTGCGGATGTTTCCGTAGACCCAGCTGCTGGTCTAGTTGTTGTCCCTTCCTCTGTCAGTAGGCCAGAGGCAGGAGGTGGAGTAGGGGTAGTACCGGGAGAGCCGTTGGAGGAGCTCCTCCCCTTTCTAGTAGACGTCTTCTTGATGTATTAAGTGTTGAAGAGAAAATATTAACTCTAACCTGCTATCATACCATGTTGGGCTGAACGCCCTAGGATCTTTAGTAGAGTTAAAGTCTGAGTAAATGATGTAGTAGCGGAAGCGTTTTAATAAAGTCCTTGAACCACCTTGCGCTAGTATGTGAGGGCAAAGTAAGTTGATTAAAACAAAGAGATACAAGAATATATATATGAGTACAGAGAATATGAAGAGACATAATTGTAACTACTTTACTGTTGCGGTTCGATACAGTGCGACTCGGGCAACTGCTCAATGTCGAGTCAGTTGTGTGTCCTTGCTGTCGCGCTGCATTTGTCAAGTCAAAGGTCGCTGACCTTTGGCTTTCTCGTAACCTCCAGCGGTTACATCAACTCCGAGGGTTGACTCGCTGGTGCTTCGATTTGCGCTGCTTCGCTTGTGTCTTGAAGTTTCGACACGACATAAGCGCTTAAGGCTATTTGTTCCGAACAGCCCAAAACCAATCTGAGGCCCTGGAGTGAACGCGACAGGGAAGGGGAGTGATATCGTGGGGAAAGTGGAGAGATAGAGACGGGGGAGGGGACCGCGTGCGATGGGGAAGGGGAGTGCTCACGAGGGGGAGGGGGAATGAACGCGTGGCAGGAAACGGGCACGCCAGCGAGGGGGAAGGGGAGAGAAAGCGACGGGGAAGGGGAGTGATTGCGTGGAGAAATGGGAGTTGCGACTGGGGAAGCGCGGAGGGCGAGGGTGGGGATTAGGAGAGTGAGACCGGGTGAGAACGACGATGGCTACCAGGGGGGTGGGGGTGCGAGACTGTAGAGGCAAATGCGCGGGAAGCAGTGGGGGAGGCTGGTGTTCTACTCACGCGCGGTTTCCACGGCGCCTCGATCCGCAACGGCATCGGAGGATTCCGCCATTCCACTTGCGATGTGCCCATTATCCGCTTGACCCGACATTGGTGGTTTCTACAGCTATTTCTGAACGGAGCTTTTTACGTGCGCATGAGCAGTAATGACGGTGTGGTACTATAAACCTTGAAGGGGCTAGTGTGGAGGAGGATGTGGTGGAGGGGAATCACAATGCGCGAAAATGTGTGTTCTGTTTCCGTCGTCTGGGTTTGTCGCAGGGAGTGTCAAACATGACGAACCTGTGTGCGAAGGTTTGGCTGTGTCAACAGGTTAGGGCGGTTGGTTTGGTGTTGAGGGTACAGTGTTCTGGTTTCGCCCGATCACCCCTCCTCTCGTGCAAAATTTCGCTGCTCGTGCATGCACCAATCCCAGGTGCAAACTCCCAACCAAGTGTAATACAGTAGAAATTATGAGACTCGGGTTTTCAACATCAGAGAGGTGCGGGTGCTGCAGCTGCTGATCTACTTGGTAAAAATCAGTTGACGAAGACCCCATCCCACGGCCCTGAGAGAAAGGCATCAACAAGCAAAGATATGAGATGTGATCATGAACATTATAGAACTCTGGAAACACGGGGCGTGAGGTGGCTCACAAGCAAGACGACGTCGGAGTCACTGAAGTTGCAGACTTAGCAAAAAGTTAACGAAATCATACAGCGGGGCTGTACAAACATCTAAAAGCACATGGCAGCTTACCACCACATGACAGCTCTGGCTCTGCAGTCAGCACTCCCTCCCGCGAAGTCAACACCGGTCAACACTGTTCAACGCTGGTCAACACTGGTCAGCGCTGCCCTTCCCCTCCTCTTCCGGCTGCACCTCCGGCCCTTCTTCCAGGACTTTATCCACGCGCCCTCGCACCTCCTCCGGCAGAGTCTTGACTTCATTCATGTCACATGACAGAGGCGTGTCATTAGCTCCATTGCACAAGAGGAGCAAGTATTGCAGATCGCACACTTCCGCCAGGTGGTGGTAGCACGCCCCAGCTGCCAAGTCAACGCCAGTCAACGCTGCCCTTCCTCCTCCTCCTCCTCCTCCAGCTGCACCTCCGGCCCTTCTTCCAGCACTTTATCCACACGCCCTTGCACCTCCTCTAATACCCTCCTCACTTCACCCATATCACACGAAAGAGGCGTGTCCTTGGCTCCCTCACACAGCAGTAGCAAGTATTGCAGGTCGCACACCTCGGCCAGGTGGTGGTAGCACGCCTTGTGGAAGTCCCTGGGGCGCAGTTCAAGCAGGACCGACTTGAACGGCATGAAGATGGCGTTGGTGATCGCCGCCCCGTGTGCTGCCACAAACAGCACGGCTCGATTGAACAGAGCCTTGGCTGCAGGGTAAGAAGAAAGGCGGGTGGGGGAGATAGGAGGGGGTTGACTTGAACGGCATGAAGATGGCGTTGGTGATCGCTGCCCCGTGTGCTGCCACGAAGAGAACAGCTTGACTGAACAGAGCCTTGGCTGAAGGGTAAGGGAGATTTGGGAAGATCGGCCAAGATTGGGGATGATTGGGTGGGGGGGTGTGGCATGAAGATGGCGTTGATGAGCGCTGCTCCGAGCATGGCGACAAACAGCACTGGGAGTGCTGCTTCCCCCTCTTATCCCCCCGACCCGATCTGGCCCACGCTTCTCCTGCTCACCATCAGCAATGCACAGACTGCCGTCAAACACCACCACTCGCTCCCAAGGGAACAGAGAGCACAGCAACTCCTCCACCTGCTCGTTTTGCTGCAGGGCCATCATCTCACATCATAATCACAGGGGAGCAAGATTCCCTTCCTTTCCCCCTCTCACCATCAGCAATGCGCAGGCTGCCATCAAACACCACCACCCGCTCTCGAGGGAAGAGAGTGCACAGCAGCTCCTCCACCTCCCCATGCTGCTCCAGTGCGCGGGTGTTGTATCGCTGTGCCAGCACCACCACCCAGTCAGCAGGCGCACCTGGGAACACACAATGGAGAACCGACAATACAGGAATGAGAAGCGATATGAGGGCACAGGGGACACACACAGCAGCTCCTCCACCTCCCCATGCTTCTCCAGTGCCTGCGTGTTGTATCTCTGTGCCAGCACAGCACCACCACCCAGTCCGCAGGCGCTCCTGGGAAGAGACATTGTAGAGAAGCGACATCACAGGAATGAGAGGAGATATGCGGGCACAGGACACACAAGTCACACACTCACACACACACACACACACACACACACACACACACACACACACACACACACACACAGCAGCAGCTCCTCCACCTCCCCATGCTGCTCCAGCGCCCGGGTGCTGTATCATCGCATGAGCAGCAGCACCACCACCACCACCACCAGCCAGTGGGAGCAGTGACTGGGAACGCACCAAAGAGCACTGATTTCTGAGAGCACCGGATCAAGCACACCTGGGAAGGCCTGACTGCATGGCGCTGTTGATGTGCGGGGTCCATTCGAGGAGGCACATGGAGGTCAACGCTGGTCAACGCTAGTCAACGCTGGTCAGCCCAAATCAGCTCACCTGGGAAGCCAATGGAGTATGATTGCATGGCCTTGTTGATGCGCGGCGTCCAATCAGGGAGGAACATGGGGAGGCCATCGGGTGGCAGCAGATACAGCCGACGGAAGTGACGCCAGAGGGAGCGACTGGGCCGCCCGCACCACTGGTAGTAGGGCTGGCAGGGACAAGCGCAGGGGGGAACCGCGGAAGCGTGGAGTGAGTGGGGTGGAGAGGGGGAAAGTGCGAGGTGAGCAGGGTCGAAGGGCGTAAGTGGGGGAGTCTGAGCACTGGACTGGGTCATACCCAGGCCGATAAAGAACGTCTCCAGCCTTGATTATTGAGGCGCCTAAAAAATCAACCCAGCCAGGTCAATTCAGAACGTTTCCAGCCTTGGGCATTGTGCGTGTTTATGAAGAGTCTCAAAAGGAGTCTGAGCACTTGACTGGGCCATACTCAGGCCGATAAAGAACGTCTCCAGCCTTGGCATTGTGCGTTAATCGGCACAGGCAATCCAGGATGTCAATTTGCGGGCACTGCACAGCCATGGGGCAGCAAGCGCAGCAGGTGCAGCCTAAACCCTCAGCCCAGAACCCTGCACCTTAAACACCTCATCATCCGGAACCACCCACAGGTCCATGTGAGCCATATCCATCCCAACAAAAAACGTCCCCAGCTTCTCCATGAAATCCATCTGCACTGCAGGTACTGCACGGCAATCGGCAGCGCGCGCAGCAGGTACTACCTAAACCCTAAGCCCTGACTCCGAAACCTTGACCTTCAACCCATGGATTTTGGCTGTCTAGGTGGATTGGATACCACATCACAGGCGTACCTGCAGCACTTGGTGAGCAAAAAACACCTCGTCGTCTGGCACAACTTGCAGGTCTATATGCACCAGATCCAGGCCGATAAAAAACAAGACTCATGCAGCATGCCTCAGTGCAAGAAAAGGGGGCGTACCTGCAGCACCTGATGAGCGAAGAACACCTCGTCGTCCGGCACCACTCGTAAATCCATTTGAACCATATCCATGCCGATGAATAAGGTTCCGAGCTTCTCCAGGAAGTCCATCTGCAGGTACTGCACTGCGATGGGCAGCGATCACAGGAGGTGCTGCCTAAACCCTGAACCCTACACTCTGACAGCCGTACCTGCAGCACCTGACGGGCGAAGAACAGCTCATCATCCGGCACCACCCTCAGGTCCATGTGAATTATGTCCATGCCGATAAAGAAGGTGCCCAGCTTCTCGAGAAAGTCCATCTGCAGGTACTGCACGGCGATGGGCTGGGCAGCGCGCGCAGCAGATGCAGTCCTGAAGCAAGCAAGGCCATACCTGAAGCACTTGATGGGCGAAGAACACCTCATTATCCGGCACCACTCGTAAGTCCATGTGCACCATCTCCATGCCGATGAAAAAGGTACCCAGCTTCTCGAGAAAGTCCATCTGCAGGTACTGCACGGCGATGGGCAGCGCGCGCAGCAGGTGCGGCGCCTTGGAGAGCATGAAGAAGACGGGCACGAGCTCGAGAATGCCGTGGTAGAACTGGTACGCGTTCCAATGCGCCAGGTTTATGATTCTATCGTACACCGTGACTCTGGTACCTTCTGGGATGTCGAACTGCAACAAGAGGTGGGAAAGGGAACAAGGCAGGAAGGCACGGAGGGGTGGGGGCGGGGAAAGGAGAGGGGAAGGTGGCGGGATGGGGTTGGGGGAGAGGAAGGTGAGGGGAGGGGTGGGGTTAGGGGGAAAGGGAAGAAGGTTAGTAGGGCGGACAGGTGTAGATAGAGCTGTAGTTTCAGTTGAGAAACAGGAGGAAATGCTTGATGATTCAGTTCATTTACCTTGTGCTACGCGTTCTAGAATCATAAAACATTGTGCTCCGTACCTCTTACCTCGTCCTCAGCCATCAAATCGGAGAGAATATACTTCACCTCGTGCCCCACCACTTCTCCACCTCACCGTGTGCTCCACCACTTCTCCACCTCTCACCTTGTGCCCCACCACTTCTCCACCTCTCACCGTGTGCTCCACCACTTCTCCACCTCTCACCTTGTGCTCCACTACTTCTCCACCTCTCACCGTGTGCCCCACCACTTCTCCACCTCTCACCGTGTGCTTGCTGCCGCAGCCATTGCGATCATAGAGGAACGAATCATTGAACGCCTGTCCGCGCGAATTGAAGTACACGTGGCACAGGTTGAACATCTGGCTCACCCATGCCAAGTGCCGCAAGAGGGAATAGGACTTGCCTTGTGCTCCTCTCCTCTCACCTTGTGTTCGCTGCCGCAGCCATTTCGGTCGTAGAGGAACGAGTCATTAAACGCCTGTCCGCGCGAGTTGAAGTACACGTGGCGCAGGTTGAACATCTGGCTCACCCACGCAAAGTGCGGAATGTCATCCTCCGCGTGAGAGCACTTCGGATCAAACAGTATCTTCACTGGCTTGATATTCAGCGGCGAATCCACCATAACTTTCTTTTTCCGCGGGCAGTTCAGCGGCGGTAAAGCTGCCCGCCGACTCAAATCTTCCATATCCGGGCAGTGGCACGCGTCTACAGCGGTGAAATTCCCCGAGCACTGCTGAAAATCCGGGCACTCGCCGCCTTTGCACCTGATATGCATGTCCTCCGTCTGCTGGTGGGACTGGTTGTGATAGTCTAAGAACACGTGGTGTAGAGACTCCATTAGGTATCGTGTAGTTAGATTCTCGGACCGCAGGGAGCCCTCCGCGCGGAGGTACTCGCGGAGATTGTTCTTCCCCGGACCCAGCTTGCGCACCAGCCGCTCCTTCCACCGCTTCCGCCGCGAAAAGGCCCCCGCGCGCAGATCGCCCGCACCCAGCCTCCTGCGCGGCGGAAAGGCACCCTCGCGCGCGTCAACCGAAATAAGCTTTTTGCGGAGGACTTCGCCGCTCTGCTCGTCGCCTCCCCCGCTGCCTGCGGCGATCCGCCGCGCTCCTTCGGTGATCTGCGCCGTTCGTGCGGCGATCCGTCCCCCTCCTGTGTCGGAAACTTGTGGCTCTAAATCGTGTGATTCGTCATCGTCTAACTTCCACGGCGCCACGTCATCTTCCTCGTCTGGAACCAGGGAACCGATCGGCCGCGAATCGATGGACGGACGAGGATCGATGGACGGAAGGGCGCTAGAGATGGAAACCGGAAACGATTGCCGCGACGGCTCAGCGTTATGCGACGTCATCGGAAACTTCGTCGAAGGGGGTACATTCTGAGACGTCGAAGACGAAACGGTACTGTGAGAAGTGGTTGAAGGAACGGCGCTACGAGGGGATTTCGAGGAGGATCGCACAGTCGAAGTTGCGAAAGCGAGCAGCGACAATGCGATGACCGCGATGATCTGGGACCGGGTGACGATGGATCGGATGCGGTTGGAGATGGAACGAGATCGGTACGAGGTGAGACGAGTCCGGTACGAGGGGGAACGAGTTCGGTTCACGGGGAAAGGAGACGGCCATGGAACGAAAATGCGTGGTTCCGACGCTGTTCCAGCCATGACTAACATCTTGAATGGTTTCTAGAACACGTGAGGGTGCTCTGAACGCAAATAAACCGGATCAATTAACAGAAGAGCGTCGTGACGCGAGGAACCGTGGCAGAAATCGGAAGTTCCGCCATAAAGCGGTCAGCGCGCGGGAAAGGGAGAATCGGCTATAGCGGATTTTGCGAGTGGAGCCTTATACTTTCGTCGTCCCGTATCAGTAAGCCAGGCTTACTATCCTCGTCAGCAGGAACGCTCGGGATATGGATTCTGCAACAAATCTCCGTCACTTGAATCCAGCAAGCAGCAGCACAAGACCAGACCAGACTCAGAAGTGGAAGAGAGATGAATCTACTCCACTACAAGCTTTGTTGAAATAAAATTTGATGGATTGTTTGTGCGAAAGGCAAGCAAGACGAGGTCACACACGACACAACTCAACTCACGAAGAGTCACGACGAGGGTCATGGGGATTGTCGAATGCAGTTCAGCTGGTTTCCAGTATTGTACAAAACCGCTCACGAACGTAGCAGACCGAACCAAATCCCCTCATCGTCCTCAGGTTGTGAAAGACCGTCGATGGGGAGATTGATGAGGTCCACATTCCTCTGAAGCTCGGTTCAGTAGTATTCTAAACGGTAAAATGGGTGTTCAAATTTCACCGCTTTGTAACGCCCCGCACCATATAAAACCCTGGTGCGTGGAATGGAAACTCTGAGCGAATTTCGCCAGACACGCCCCCGATGTCGGCGGCTTTCGCCTAGACCACCGAACACGCATCTGGTCAGTTGACGCTACAGTGTTTCGTCAGGTGTGCTTTGTTGGATTGGTTGGAAGGTTGCGTTGCAAATGGCCATATGATTGCCAGCTGAACCAGGTGGCTACTGACCAGGCCTGTCGATTCAAGGGCATATGCCCTTAATGCCTTGAACATTAAGGGCTAGTTTCGCTCCAGCTCCAATGCGGCAAGTTCTGAATTCATACCCCACCCGTGCCACTAAGTGCTTCGTTCGACCCTTCCCCGGATGTGTTAAGGGACGAAACCAGGCCTTCCCCCCTATCTAAGTTTTGGTTTCCGCTCGTAGGACCCCCCCCACCCAGGGTGCCCAAGACCCCCCCCCCCCCCCCCCACCCCCCCTTTCTCCTTAGCCTGCACTAGAGCGCGCCAAGGGGATTTTTCCCTTAGCGTTTTCTAGCCAATCTCGTGTGTGTGTAGTGTGTCTCAGTCAGCCTTGGAGCACCCGAACATTCCCTTAGCGTCCAATACGAGCTGGCCGCAGTTTACAGCTGTGACACATAGGATTAGGTTGGGTGAATCTGGCTAAGTTTATCAGCCACAGAGAACTCCAAAGCACCTCAAAGGAAGTGAAGCACTCCAGCGTAGGAGCTCTCTCACCACCTTCGTTCGTGCGTGCCACCATTCCTCTCCACCACCATGCATTCCATACACCACCACCCACCCACCCACCCAACCTCCCACTCCTCTCCTCTTTTATTCGTGCCATGTTTTCTCTTCTCCACCGTCTGACCACCTCCACAGTACCGCCCACCCAAGCTCTCTGCTCTCCACCTTCGTTCGTGCCGTGCTATGGCACTTCTCCTCCACCCACCAACTCTGCCGAGTAAAGCTCGCGTCGCCTCGTTCACACACGCGAGGTTTATATATTGGCTAGCTAACCCGTTCCCTTCGTCAGCCACAATCTCCCACCATGGACCATAGCGAGGGTGAAACCCCTCCTCCAGTTTTGCCCACGACGAACTTCTCTTATTCTCATACTACAACCGAGACCGAGCCCTACGTAGCCACAGATGCTGAAGACATGCTAGACGTAGCAATCTCAGTCTTGGACCCGTGCCTCGCCCAGCAAGCCTCATCGTCACAGTCTACTCCGAGGTCTGCAGCCCGTTATCGTCAGGTTCACCTAAGCTTCGCTAGTCCGCCACCAGACACGCGAAAGCGCACACGATGCGTACCGCCACCACCCACTGCTGAGGAGTTGGAGGCGCAAGACAACGCGATCGCAGAGGATGCAGAAGTACCCCCGGACACCGAGATCCCTGAGGCCGAGAGGAGTCTTGCACGTCGCTTCAGCACGTCGTGGAAGCAGACGTACTCGTGGCTGAGCTTGAAGTACAACAAACATGAGCGCCAGTATGGTATGAAGTGTTCCGTCTGCTGTAAGTTTGCTCCTAACACCAAGTCTCCCTTTGGTGGTGCTGGAGTCGGTGCAAGGGATTTTCACAAGTCGTCGTGCCGCAACCGTGACCAGTCCAAGGTGCACCTCGCGGCCATGGAAGCTGAACTGTCAGAACATATAGCTTGTGCTTATTGTGTAGGCTATAGTGGGGTAGCCCATAAGTGGTACAACCCAATTAGGGTTAGTACTTGTACTCAGTTCGTTCATAGTTCATTCATTCTCGTTTCAGTTTTCTCATGGTATCGAGCAGTTTCCCTCGTGGGAACTGTTCCTAGGGCCCTACTACTGCTTCCGCTGCTACTCGATCCGTTGCACGCCCCGTGGCGTGCGACCTATTTTCGTTGGCGCCCGGCGATTTTCTTTCTCGCGCACGCCCCGAGGCGCGCGGCCCCGCTGTGAAAACAAAGAACGAGAATGAAATGACTAGGAACGAAGTGAGTACAAATAGGAAACCCTAATTGTGTTGTACCCCCTATGGGATACCCCACTATAGCCTACAGAAACAAGTAAGCTATATGTTCTGACACACCCCCATAGGCAAAGTGGGGGAGAACAAGGGGTCACAAGACCAGTCAAGCAAAGCAAAGCAAAGCTCAGGGTGGATCACAAAGTCACCACACATTCCGAGCACAAGTTCAAAGGCCACAAGGCCAGTTCACATGCAAGATCATATATAGAGATATACAAGAGCAAGAGTATATATATGCGAAGGTACAAGCAAGGTCAAGAGGAGAGCAAGTGAGGCAAGACAGGCACAAGACCCAACTGCGTGCAGCAACGCTGATGATCACAAGGCGCAAGTGCCTTGGTGAAGACATCAGCAGTGTTGGCCTCAGAGGCCACGTACGCAAGTCGCAGCTGTCCACGCTGCTGTAGCTCACGAGCAAGAAAGTAGCGAAGAGCAATGTGCTTCGTTCTGTGCTCCAGTCGCTGCTCTCGACACAAGGCCAGCATGGCCTTGTTGTCTACGTACAGGACTGGAGGAGAACGAGGCTGCTCTCCAAGGTCGGTCAGCAGGTAGGTGAGCCAGCGTAACTCTTGTGCAGCCATAGCCCCAGCGTAGATCTCAGCCTCACAACTGGAGCCGAGAACAGAAGACGAGCGGGTAGCCCGCCACGAAACAGAGCCGGAACCAAGGCTGAAGGTGTAACCCTGTGACGACCGCTGCGTAGCCTGGTCGTCAGCCCAAGAAGCGTCTGCGTGCCCAGTGAGGACCACTGGACTGCGCCCTCCAAGCACTAGCCCCATGCCCGACGTACTGCACAAGTAGCGCAACACCCTCTTCGCTGCAGCCATGTGCTCTGGTCGGTGTCTCCCAGGAGCAACAAAGCGTGCGAGAATGCTAAGAGGGTATGCGAGGTCAGGTCGTGTGCAGGTCATCAGGTACATGAGGCAGCCAACAAGCTCTGCAAACGGGCCACTCGACTCTACGGACTCATCCGAAGGCAGAGCTGAGAGCGAGTGGCGAGTAGGCAGAGGAGTGGCCTGAGGCGAGGAGTACGTGAAGCCGAAGCGCTGAAGGGCCTGCTGCACCATGTGTGACTGAGTCAGGGTAATGGTGCGGCGTGCTCTGTCCCGGGTGATCTGCAAGCCAAGGTAGCTGCGCAGTTCACCCAGGTCAGTGCACGTGTGTCTCTTCTGCAGCTCGGACTTCACGTAGGCGAGTCCAGCAGTGTCAGCTGTGGCAAAGACCAAGTCGTCGACGTACACGAGGATGTAGAACGGCGGCAGAGAGGTGTCGGTGTGCAGAAACAGCGACGGGTTGGCAGTGGAAGGAGCAAACCCAAGTGCCGCGAGCGTAGTCCTCAGTGTGTCGTGCCACTCACGTGGCGCCTGGCGGAGACCGTAGACTGGACGCCGGAGACTCCACTGGGTACCAGGAGGGAAAGACCCAGTGAAGCCAGGTGGGCGACGCAGCCAGATCTCCTCGTGCAGGCTGCCCTGCAAGAAAGCTGTGCTGAAGTCGAGAGAGTGCAGCTCGTAGTCACGGTGAGCAGCAACGTGTAGAAGAACCCGAAGAGTGGTCATCTTCGGGGTGGGGGAGAAGGTCTGAAAGTAGTCAACCCCCTGCCGCTGACTGAAGCCACGAGCCACGTAACGCGCCTTGAAGACAGGCGGAGAACCCGGCGGCCGCTTCACCCTGAAAATCCACATGCCACTGACGATGTTCGCCCCAGGAGGGGGAACAGCGTCAACGTAGGTGCCTGTGGACTGCCAGGAAGCCATCTCTGCATCCATAGCTGCCTGCCACTGAGAGGAGTAGGGACCCTCTATCGCCTCCGCGTAAGAGCGCGGAGTCGGGATGTCTGGTGCATCCGGGTCTCCCTCAGGGGCTAGCAGTACAGACGCGAGACGAGGTGAAGCGGCGGCCAGACACTGGAACTCCTCCTGCCTGTCCTCAAGGATGTCCGTGCCAAGGGCACACTCACCCCCGACGGACGGAGGACAGGCGGACTCAGACTCAGTGACAAGACGAGCAGCGTAGTCTAGACGACAGCGCGCAGC